ATTCATTGATCTTTTCAAATCTTTTTTCAAATTTCCAAAATTTTGAAAATTTTCCGAGATATTAAGAAAAAACTTAAGCCCCATTTTTTTTTCACTTAATTGTTTATAACTTTTGTCATTTTTATCGGCGCGTTTTCGGACCATTCCTTAAACTTTCTAGGCAAAAATACGAATCGAATGACACCTTGGTCGTAATTTTTGGACAGGGCTGAAAAATGTTACAAAAAAAGTACATGTGGAATAGAATATCTACCTATCAAGTTGTGAATACACTTTTGAATAAATTTTATCAAAAATCATTGAAGTATACTAAGTTAGTATACACGCCTGAAGAAGATATTGTATAGCGAAACACGTGTTGCTTTTTTGTGAAACTATTCAGCAAACATCTCACAATGAAGTGTTTCTTGAATACGATTCAAACTAATTCATTTTGATGATGATAATAATTATTTATTTCGTCTAAATGCTAAATGATTTCGAGTTTTTCCCTTTCTTTGGTGGACTTTCTGTCCACCGGTGAATTTGAGCATGTACAGTGATAATTGTTTACAGGAGATCCCATCATGGCCGAAAATGAAAACTTCGACTTCATTGTTATCGGATCCGGACCCTCCGGGTCAGTGATCGCGAATAGATTAACAGAAATTCCGGAATGGAGAGTACTCCTGCTAGAAGTGGGCGGTGAAGCCCATCCGTTGAGTGACATACCTTTTCTGGCAGGATCTTTCCAATTCACTGATTACAATTGGGGCTACACCACGGAACCGCAAAAAGGAAACCTTTCGTGCTGGGGTGAGTGAACTACAAAAGTTACCTGGAAAAAAAAATTAAAATATAATTTTTTTTCTTAGATAATTGAAGGAAATATTCATGTATTTGCTCAGTGTACGAATCATAGAACAGTTATAATAAAAATATCGTTAGGAAAATGATGATTTAATTTCGAGGAGCATTAACGTCAGATGAATATAGTATTGTTTTTTACAGGGTGGTCAAATAAAATCATCCTTCACTAACAGATAATACTAATCGAAACCAATTGATGAGTAATTATATACTCAGTTAGGAATTAAATTTGGCATAGCGGGTATTAGATCAGTGCAAAAGAAAGGAAAATAATGATAACATAAAACTGATTAGCAATAATAAAAAATATTGTGCTTATAACAGGAAATATGGAGTCATTCCAAGGTATGGGGAATTGAGAATTATTTCCAGAGAAACTAGACCTCCGATAGAAAGAAGTTGAAAACAAACGTTGTGGAAAACATAAAGGTTTACAACTTTCCTATTACAACCATTTTTTCAAAAAAACCTGAAATTTTTCGAAAAAATTAAAAACCCGGTTTTTTCGTTTTTGCTTTTTCCTCCCGTAGAAATGATTTTTTTTCCACAATATTTGGTGTTCTGTTTTGTGTTCTGAATATGTTGTAATTTGTAATTGTAATGTAAATTTCAATTTCATGTTGAAGCTAAAAAAACTAACTATTTTTAACATAAAATACACACGTACTGAAAACATTTTTTTTTCAAAATCACCAGTGGTATTTTTTCCTAATGAGGAATATACTCTCAAATGGTGTGATAGAGAAGTAATGCTACTGCGGAATACTTGAATTTCCATTTTCAATGATGGAATATCATTGACGATGATGGTCACTATCTTGCACTGATGAGTAGCTAAGGAGCCCGAAACCGGTCTGCAAGTGTGACCGTTCCAAAATTGAAGGTCGACTCTTTCAGTTGTATTGCCAAATGGATATGCAGTAAATTTTCTGTGAAGATTTCTGCACTGACGTCTGTCGGCGCCTTTATGATAAATTGTATTCATGAATGGTGTTGCAGTAATTTACTTGAAATGAATGAAAATATAACAAAATGTATGCTCATTGCAAGAGAAAACCAAATTGAAACACTGCCAAGCCAGAATTTGGAAATACTTGGGTATTATAGTTGACTATGGACTAACGTTTGAAGAACATGCAAACTATATATCAAAAACTATTTCTTCTAAAGTAAACTTTTTATTCAGATGTTCAAGATATCTTAATGCATGGACAAAAACGGTGATATACAATAGTATTATACATCCCCATTTGAACTATTGCTCCACTATTTTATACCTACTGAACCAAAACCAAATTATTAGGTTCCAAAAACTAAAAAACCGATCGATGCGTATCATTTTGTCAAGTAGCAGACGCACTTCCTTAAAAACCATATTGGACAGTTTAGGATGATTAGCAATTGAAGATTACCTGTTATACCAGACACTTATTTTCATTTTTAAAATCAAAACAGGACGGGCACCTGAATACTCAATTGATAAAATAAGTTACAATTTTGAACTGCACCAATACCCAACCAGATCAAGAAATTGCTTTCACTTACCTCTAGTAAGGACAAACACTTCTCAAAATTCTGTCTTTGTTAAAGGACTCAAAGCTTTCAATGATTTAACTCCAGAATTAAAGAATATAGTTTCTATTGACCTTTTAAAAAAGTTGAAAAAAATATATATGATGGAAAAACGTAATGAGACTTGACGTTTATTTTATAAACACACAGTATCTATATTTGTTGTGAGACGTAAACTTCTAGTTTAGAAACTTTTTATATATATTTTACTTTTCCATATGCTTTATGACAATATAAAAGTGACAACAAATCATTTTATTTTTAGATTTCTTTTAAAATTGTTACTCACTGAACTGTATTATTAGGTGGTGATAGCTGAGGTCATAACTAGCTCATAACAGGAAAAGAGTTTAGGTAAAAGTGTTTTCGTTTTCGAGATATCGGAAACTTTCTTTTTTTCGAAAATCGGCGACTCGATTTAGTATTTTCAATGTTACGTCATAAAAACATGACTTATCCACAGCAAAATAAAACTATTTTGTATAGCTAAATAAAGTTGGCGCATTTAATGGAGATTCAAAAATGGTGTAATAGTTAACTTTCTATCAGTCCTGCAAGAAAATATTGAAGATAGAAAAAAAAAAGGTATTAGGAATCCAAGAATAAATGGCAATATCAATTATCACAAAACATTAGCACTGAGTGAAAAACATCCACAAAATAAAAAATGATATCTCAAAAATAACAAAAGAAATGAGTCCAAACAGGTTTTCTTCCGAGGCCCCCTCCCCTCCACGCTTCTTTGTATCATTCATGTCAGTTCATTTTTCGCTGTTCATTGTGTCGCACGTGTATTTTTGTTATCGATAAGAACTAACGATCGCTGCTCTGAACTGGATTTTGAAACTGTTTTGTGATTTGGATATTTTTAATAATGCCGGCTTATTATACTCTACTGCAATATGCGAATATGCATTTTATTTACGGCGAATGTCGCGGTAATGCAAAAGCAGCAGCCTGGTTGTATCGAGAGCGGTATCCAAACGAGCAGAAATATCCGGATTACCGAGTCTTCATTAATGTGCATCGATCCTACACGGAAGGAGTAATTCCCAGAAGACAGGTAAATCGCGATGCAGGAAATATCCTTGGTCCAGATGTTGAAGAAGAGGTTCTGGCTTGCGTGGAAGAGAGTCCAGATATTTCGGTACGTGCGCTTGAAAGACAAATCGGAATTCCAAAAACTGTTGTGCATCGCATTCTTCGAGTGCACAGGTACCATCCATACCACTTGCAAAGAGTGCAAACATTACTGCCACGAGATCATGCACCAAGAGTTTTGTTCTGTCAAAGAATGCTGGTGAGACACGCGACTGATCCTGACTTTCTTAGTAAGATTCTGTGGACTGACGAGAGTACGTTCAAAAAAAAAAAGGTATTAGGAATCCAAGAATAAATGGCAATATCAATTATCACAAAACATTAGCACTGAGTGAAAAACATCCACAAAATAAAAAATGATATCTCAAAAATAACAAAAGAAATGAGTCCAAACAGGTTTTCTTCCGAGGCCCCCTCCCCTCCACGCTTCTTTGTATCATTCATGTCAGTTCATTTTTCGCTGTTCATTGTGTCGCACGTGTATTTTTGTTATCGATAAGAACTAACGATCGCTGCTCTGAACTGGATTTTGAAACTGTTTTGTGATTTGGATATTTTTAATAATGCCGGCTTATTATACTCTACTGCAATATGCGAATATGCATTTTATTTACGGCGAATGTCGCGGTAATGCAAATGCAGCAGCCCGGTTGTATCGAGAGCGGTATCCAAAGAGGAGAGATATCCGGATTACCGAGTCTTCATTAATGTGCATCGATCCTACACGGAAGGAGTAATTCCTGGAAGACAGGTAAATCGCGATGCAGGAAATATCCTTGGTCCAGATGTTGAAGAAGAGGTTCTGGCTTGCGTGGAAGAGAGTCCAGATATTTCGGTACGTGCGCTTGAAAGACAAATCGGAATTCCAAAAACTGTTGTGCATCGCATTCTTCGAGTGCACAGGTACCATACATACCACTTGCAAAGAGTGCAAACATTACTGCCACGAGATCATGCACCAAGAGTTTTGTTCTGTCAAAGAATGCTGGTGAGACACGCGACTGATCCTGACTTTCTTAGTAAGATTCTGTGGACTGACGAGAGTACGTTCAAAAAAGACAACTTCATGAATATGCACAACTTGCATTGCTGGAGCTTGTCTAATCCACATGCCATCAGAGAAGACCGCTCACAATACCAGTTTAAAATTAATTTGTGGTGCGGAATCATTAACGGCCAAGTAATAGGACCCATTGAAATACCTGGAGCGTTTAATGGTCAATACTATTTAGAATTACTAAGGGACGAGTTGAATGGCCTTTTAGAAGATGTTCCTCTCGCAAAGGGACAAGGCATGTGGCTGCAAAATGATGGCTGTCCTGCACACTACGCCCGGCCTGTAAGGGATTACCTAGAAGAAGAATTTCCTAGCTGATGGATTGGTCGACTTGGACCAATTCTCTGGCCAGCCCGCTCCCCGGATCTATATCCTATGGATTTTTGTTATTGGGGGTTCCTCAAGGAAAATGTTTACTTTAAACCGATGGAAACTGTAGAAAATCTTCGTGATGGTATTAACGGCGTCGCTGAAACGTGCACTCGATTACACAAGGCACGATTTGTGACACGCTCTTTTATTCGCAGATGTCGTACCTATATCCGGGCAGGTGGTGCTCAGTTCGAGCATTTATTGTAAAAGCTTTTAATAAAGTTTGCTTACATGATTTATTTGATTTTTATTTTTTAATTACAATACATAGTACTATATCTACAAAATTATCCCACAAATAAATTTTCCTTGGATTCCTTGGATTCTTAATACCTTTTTTCTTCTAGCTTCAATATTTTCTTGGAGGTCTGATAGAAAGTTAACTATTACACCATTTTGGAATCTCCATTAAATGCGCCAACTTTCTGAAATACTTTTCAGCCAAGCACAGTACATTTTTTTTCACTGTGATAGGTTAAATTTTCTTCTGGTACATTTCGCATTTTCCTTTCCAGTTTTGGAAAATAATGCCGAGTGAGATGACGAAGATTAGGGAACCTCTGAGCATATATTCGAGCTGCTTCAGTTGCATTCTTTTTTGTTTCTCCGTAAATTAGCAACATGTCAATTTTCTCGTTTCCAGTATAATTTGCCATAGCCAATTATAAACCACACAACAAATTAATTTTTTTAAGTTGCAGCATATTTATTAGTCTATTTGTTAAGGTGGTACTAGCAACAGCTTCAACTGTTTGTCACGGTAAACTAGAATAACAGGTCTTAGTGAATAAGTATACCGAATAAGTATTATTTGTTCGTATTATTTGATCGTTTCTTGCAATTATTCAGAAAAATAGAGAAAATAAAGTGAACGTGTGTGGCACCAAATTATTCGTAAGAAAATGATCTTTTACAAAAAACCAACAAGCCAACCCCTTTCCATTTGAAAAAATCAAGTTAACTGGAAAAATTCATATTTGCGACTGCGAAATAATTCCTAAAACGACTGTGAAGTCATAAGCCTTAAAGTCGTAGTTTTTCCATGTTAAGTACTTGATCAAGAATGAAGCGATTTACATGATCCATGGCATTCTAGGTAAAAAAATAAAAATTTGAGTAAAAATCATTTTATTTGTCAAATATTGACGAGTGAAGTATTGTTGGATTTAGAATGTCATACTCGATCGAAATAAGTAAAAGTATATAGGATGTCCCATTCAAAAATCGAAAGTTGGGATCATTTCCGATCAAACCAGAAGTACGGCAAAGCAAGTAAATATGTCAAAAAATGTAAATTGAACTATGATACGCAACCCCCAAATTTCGTTTTTCTATCTCCAATAATAAAAAAGTTGTAGGGGTGAGCCACCTTTGAGAATCACCCGGTATAATTATATTAGAATAAAATGATAAGCCGCAATACAGGGTCATTATTTTATAATAATACTCTTATAACACCGCAGCGACTTTTTGAGGTTAAGTGGAAGAGCAATTAATAACGATTTATCGTTATAAATATTGAACTTCGCCTTTTGTTTTCAACTTATTCATATTTTTGTCCATACTTGAACCTTATTAGTTGTGAACAATATTATTATTCCTATTTATTATTATTATTATTATTCCTATTCAATCGGGTTCAATTAGTCATGCGATTCTCATTTATAGACTTTCCAGTATGGTTTCACTGAATTCTATATTCATTTTCTGAAATCGTATCTTGATCAAAGGAAGCAGTATGTCTAGTATAATAGTTTCTCTTCATATATTCATTTTGCCACTAGCAGATTCCCTCAAGGATCTAATATTAGTCCATAATATTCATAAATGTCCATTTCGACTATCAACTTACTTTCAAAAATCACATTGATTTTATATTTTTATATTTTGTTTAGATATAATAAGAAGAAATATCGTTTCTGTAGTGAAAATGAGAAATTATTATTAAAAACGTTTGTAATCAACCTATTGAAATATCTATTCAGGCTGAGTTACAGTTATTCCTTCAATTCTCAACTGATTCAAAGGTCAAATTAGTAGATTTTAGGTGGAAACTGACCCATCACTTCACATCACAGCAGGGTGCGTGATTTGAGAGTCGATGTTCTGCCTCACCCACCATACTCCCCAGACCTCTCGCCAATCGACTACCATCTTTTCAAGTACTTCGATAACTTTCTCACCGGTAAAACCTTCGCTAATCAGGGCCAGGGAAAAACGGGCTTCGTCAACCTCATCGAATCCCGATCACCCAATTTACATGCTGACGTAATAAATCGACTTGTATTACTGATTCAAATGATGCTTATTTCGAATAAATTGAATGAGTATGCACCGAGATATTACGGTTTGAAGAATATTCATGAAAAATTACAAAACGTTTGAAACAACCTAATACAAAATGATTGTTTTTGTTCATTCCTCAGGTTGTCCGCAGAACCGGATGTGGTGGCCTCATGGCAGAGTTCTTGGCGGTAGTACGGTCACAAACTATATGATCCATGTACGTGGTAACCCTCTGGATTACGACAAATGGGAGAAAATGGGCAATCCAGGATGGTCATATAAAGAAGTATTGCCTTACTTCAAAAAATCGGAAGACGCCAATATAGCTCGAGAGGATCCAGGATATCATATGAGAGGGGGTTATTTAAGCGTAAGCGATGTTCCGTACAGAACCGAATCCGCCCATGCTTTCGTGAGGGCGGCCCAAGAAGCAGGTTATAGTTACGTGGACTATAACGGAAAGAGACAAATAGGGGTGAGGTCAAAGAATTTCTACATATATTTTTATTTGAGTTATAAAAACTAGCGAAATGCAACTTGAATGAAATTTATTGGGAAAATTCTGTAATTATTATAATGGATTATGTTATTAAATTTCATCAAGTAATGGATGAGAGTATTCATAATTATAATGGAGTTTACTTTCATGTTAACATGTACTGCTCATAACATTGGAATTTATTCTGCTTTAAAGTCATCGTTTATTTTCTATACATTGAGGTTCATAGCAATACAGGGTGTCAATTTGTAGACTTCCCATCCTTAATTTGTGAGAAAGACATTTCAAACATAAATAGATTTATGAACATTTAAAAAAAACTGAAAAATCTGCATTTGGCCACCACACTGAATTTCACAATCACAACTTCAGCTTCAATAAAAATTCCAAAATTTTATATAATACTGATAATAAACATTTCCTCAGACTGGACTTTTTTGAAGAGCTGGCGATTTCCAAAGAACTTTCCAATAATGATCATTGCTTGAATACTCAAGTAAACTTAAGAGATTTTCTTCCCCTTCATAAAAGGAATATGAATTGTTAAATTAATTGAAATTTATTATTTAAATACTTTATTCTACATTGGCTTCTCCACAACAAAACATTTTTCAAATTCATAATGGATCACTCCTCAAGTACCATTATTTTCAACATGACACTTGACACATTCTCTCTCAAGTTACACTTCTTTCATAAAATACTTCGACTGAACCACATGGCCTCAATTCAAAAATGTATTTCCTTGTCTATCAGCCTATTTTGTTTTATATAAATCAAATATTACAAATGTGCTATGTACTCGTTTTTGATACTTTCTGTTGCCTGACAAGTAAGTAATCATAAACAATTTCTTGAATTTCATAACCTCAAAAAAAATTCGAATTTCTTTTCTTTTCTCTTCAAATAGATCACTTACTTTCAGGTGAGATGATGAAAGTCGAAAGTGCTTTGCAATAATTTTATAATTATACACTTTCATACAAAAAAGCTCTTCGATTCATTCATCTCAAACATAAAATCTTCTAAATCGTGAGTTATAAGAGGATCTATGGTATCTTCAAGCATTTCAAGTTACAGAACGCCAGTAAAGTTTTCTTCCTGAAATACTGGATCAATAATGGCATTTCCAGGAATACCAGCCCAAACATTGACTTTTTGTGGGTGTTGCGTATGCCCTTCCCGAAAAATTTGTGGGTTTTCGTCACTCCAATAGCGACAATTTTGTCTATTAACATTGCCATTCAGAAAAAATAAACAGATGTTAAACAGAAGATTAGAGATGGTATTGACTCGATGAGACATGATTTCACAAAACTCAATTTTTGTTTCATAATCATCCTGCTGGAGGTCTCGAAGAGACCGCATTTCATAAGGATATAATTTATGCATTTTCAATGCTTTTCTTACTGTCCCGCGTAACATTTCCGTCTGTTTTGATATTGAACGTAAGGAGCTCCTGGGCTCTGCAGCAAATGTTCCCAAAACTTCAATTCGAGCTGCTTCATTCAGTACTCCGGGTTTATTTCTTTTTTTATTTGCCACTGAACCAGTTTCGTAAAACTTATTTACCACATCAAGCACATACCGGTGACTTACATTACAACTTGAATGTCTTTCGTTAAAGAGACATGCCGCTACTACTCCATGAATTATAATCATTTCAATTCTGTCTTGAAGTTGTACCCAAAAGGTACAACTGTATGCACAATACTACTACATCGTTCAAATTTGGGAACCAATTTTCTGCCTGAAAACAGAAACTTTTCACAGCAAAAGTAGCAAAAAAGGACTAAACACAACTTTACTATGTTTAATTTACCATTAGAATACTTTTTGATGTAAATTAAATGGAGCTAATGACTAATGTTACCCCTAATGAGGGGTTGGAACGGTACCACCTAATATTTTTAGCTGTTCTGGTCAAACCGTCCATCTCAGTATAACCGTACTATAATTACTTCTGTTAGTTTAGAACGCTTTTTCGGAAAATGCTCATTAAAAATAATAAATCAGGGTACCACTGGAAGCAGAATTGAACGCCAATCAAAATGATGTGCCACTCGACCCCCTTCCCATTTAAAATTCTAAGGGTAACATCTACCCCTCCCAGTCCCCCTTGACATCTTTGTGTTCGATTCCTCATATTATTTACTGGAAGATATTAAGAGTGAGAAGTTTTCAAATTGATACACTGTATAAGTTCATTTTCGAAGAAATAATCAAATATAATCAAAGTATAATCAAAATTATACCCTGTAGAATTAACAAAATTAAAAATATACAACATATACAGTGTCACACATAAAGTCCGCATCAAATGGGATTTTTTTTGTTCATCTCTTCAAGCAACTTCTGATATCTCCATTAGATTGTGCTTTGAAAATGATGCCAAATGACATGCATATGACCGATCAAGTGATTTTTCTTCACTGTCCAATTTGACATTTGGCAGAATATTTTTGAACAGGCAGACTATATATATAGCGTTTTTCTAAGTTTATTCATAACATCCTGTGGATAAATATTCCACATCATAAATTAGTCCGCAGAAATGTTTTACCACGTATATAGTATTTCCGTGAATTACTTTTCTGCAGAATTCACGAATATACTTCGTAAGAGGTGAATGACACAATTTTCGTTTTTTTGTAGTTGACTGTAAGCCTATTTGCATAAGCCATGCAATAATATTTATTATTCCAAAGAATATTGATTCTTTCAACTTTCCATGAATTTTCCTCATATATGAGAGTGGTGTCATCCGTAAAATCTGTTATAGTTTCTTGAGTCGACAAGGTAAAAAGATCTTTTACATGAACGATACAAGAATAGGGCCCAGTACTGCTCCCTGTGGTACACCAAAGGAAACAGTCGTGTCATAATTTAAGGAGTGGGTCAATATTATAGTTGAGCTCGTTTCAAAAATATTTTACCGCTAAGCAGCAACTGACTTGACTCAGTCACTTCACTAACAGAGTTGAGGTTCAACGTGAGACTACGCAGTAGGAAAAAAAATTATACATATCTTTTTCTTAGGATACGTGATGAAGGTGTCCAGGATGAGGTGTGAGATTTTTCACTAAACAGTTTACAAAACGCAGCACATGTTTTACTATACAGTGAATTTCTTTAATGTCCCCCCTTTTATTTTTTGAACAGGTCAACTCAAAAAATTGAAATTTGGGACAATGAAAGTAATACAAGAAAGCTTTATTTTGAAGTGAAATAGACAGATGAAACTTCCAAGATGGCGACTGGGCGCCATGTGGAAAAAGAATTAAATGGAAAGGGGGTCTTGTGACACATAATTTTGAAGATCCTGACGAATACTTCACAACCCCAGAATATAAAGTCAATATCCTCACCTACTACAAAATGGCGGAACATTTAATACTTTCCTGAAAACAAACACATTGATATTGATATTTCTAGAAATATTCCTTCTTATCTGCCATATAGCAATTCCAACAGCCAGATAAGGTTTGTTAAGTTATTTTTTGTTTATAAAAACGACAAAAAATGTCAGTACGACAATGAATATCATTGTTCAGTTAGAAGATTCTCATTTAGTTTTCAGTTTTACTAGTAGAAAGGTACCACGTCAACAATCTCTAAAATGGTCAATTCTCGTCCATTGGAAAAAAAATTGAAGCGATTTAACTACCGGCAGTGTACATAACAAAAAGCCCCTACGTCATTCATCCATTCCGGAAGAACAGCAAGTGCAAATAATTGGTGAGATGGTAGTAAATCCTAAACAGTCTACTTATTCCGTCGCGAATGTTTGTAAGGTGTCTCCTTCTACTGTGTGGAGACTTTTGAAGAGGAATAGGTATCATTCATACAAAATTAAAATGGTACACCAATTAACTGAAGATGAACAGAATTCTGCGAAATTATAACGGAAACCATTGCAAGGCATCATACCTATCTCCACAATATTTGTTTTAGTGACGAATGTACATTTTTTTAAACGGCAATGTTCAAAGACAAAATTGCGGTTATTGGCAATCGTCGAAGCGAATCCAACTGAATTCGATATGGATATTGTATTCCAACAAGATGGAGAACCACCACATTACTCCAGACAAGTAAAAAAACTATTTAGATACTACTTTTCCCGGCCGTTGGACTGGCCGTCGAGGTCCTACAGAATGGCCAGCTCGCTCGCCAGATTTGACACCTTTGGACTTTTTTATGGGCTACTTGAAACGAAAGGTGTATTGAACTGAACCTGCTTCAGTATTGGATAAACGGCAGAGAATAATAAATATTTGTAGAGATATTGAAGTTACTGGGTTCCAAAATGTTCGGCGTGAAATATCGGATGGGCTGTCCATATGTCAAGAAGTTCAAGGCAATCATTTCGAGTATCTTCTGAACTGATCTCAAGTGTACTACCTCATACTATCTAGTTAAATGTCAATGTATTCAGGCAGTTATTAAAAGGTCCGCCATTTTGTAGTAGTTGAAGATATTGACATTATATTCTAGGGGTGTGAAGCATTTGTCAGGAGCTTCAAAAGGATGTGTCACAATACCCCCTTTCCATTTAATTTTTTTCCTAGATGGCGCCCAGTCGCCGCCATCTTGAAAGTTTCATCTGTCAATTTCACTTCAAAATAAAGTATTCATGCATTAATTTCATTATCCCAAATTTCAATTTTTTGAGTTGACCCATTCAAAAAATAAAACGGAGGGGGGACATTAAAGAAAAGCACTGTATACTCCCACAAGAAAGCATTACTTGAATATTATATCTTTCTATTATGAACTGGTCAAACTGGTTCGGATAAAATTTTCATATGGATCACAAACCTGAATCATTATTTTTGAACAGGTTTCATATGTACAATCTACAACCAGACAAGGAAAACGACTTTCCGCAGAGGCCGCATTTTTAAGACCAATTCGACACAGAAGCAATCTGAAAATACTGAAAAACTCCAGGGTTACTAAAATACTGTTCGATGATGGAACAAAAAAAGCATATGGTGTTGAATACATCAGACATAGGAAATATCATGTAGCTACTGCCCAAAAAGAAGTCATTTTATGTGCAGGCGCTTTAAACTCCCCACAACTGTTGATGCTGTCCGGTCTGGGTCCGACTAAACATATGAAGAAGTTAGGTAAGAAAATGTGAAAAAGAATTGTGCCTGAATATAAGATAAACATCCGACCTGACCTGACTCAATTTATATTAATATATTTTCTATGATTTACATTTGGCTGGTCATTAAATAGTGAAGAAGTTTTAGGTTCATGTTGAAATTGAAACTTATGAAAACGAAAACTCCTTTGCAATGGATCTAACCCACAACAATACAAAATTCATATTATATTAGTGTTAAATGTTCCATTGAAACTCTACGTTTTGTATCTGCTGCTTTCAGAGATTAAGAGAAATATTATAACCAGCATCTCCTTTCGTGAAAGCACATAATGTTTTGGTTCTTTTCCGGGTTTTGCCGTGGTTTTCTTTGGTTACAATCTCCAATTCACTGAGATGAATGCAGTAAGCCTATAGCAGTCACTATGGCTAGTGACAGCGAAACCTATAAACAACTTCGGCAGGATGAATACCCGAAAAATAGCCCACCCAACAATTTGTAGGTTGAGGACATCGGCTACAGGGGCACATCTTCACCGGAGGAGGAGGTTGCATATCTTAATGAGGATCTGGAAGTGATTTCGAATTAGCGTGAAAGTAACCAGGTTCAAATCAATGCCACAAAAAACCCAGGCATCGGTTTTCTCCAAGAATATGAATGTCTCCAACTCGGATATAATGATGTTAGGTCAGACGATTCCGCTTTCTGCTTTGATAATTTTGCTGTGTGTAAAAATGGACACCAATATGTTTTAGCAAATTCATGTCGCTGGAATTGCAGAGGCTGCTTCTCAAAAGCTTGTAACACTGTTCCCAACCAGAAAACTGTACACACCTCAGCAACATTTGATCCTTTATATAGCTCAGATCAGACGTTCTTTGGAGTATTGTTTTCATGTATGGAGCTCTGCCCCCAAACATACCCTGAAGGTGCTGGATTCTATCCAGACAAGAGCCATCCGCTTGAATGGAGACGCGAACATCACGTGCAACCTTGATAGCCTGGAACATCGAAGAAATGTTGGAGATTTGTCTCTCTTTTATGAGCATTTTCACGGGAAGTGTTCAAGTGACTTGGCACATTTGATTCCACCAAGAGCGGTACATATCAGAAATATGCGATGAACTGCGGTTCAACTCAGTGCATCTCGTACTTCGCTGTTTAAGAACTCTTTCGTCTGGAGAACTGCGTTTATGTGGAATAAACTTCCTGAGAACTTTTTTTTCAAATGAATTTAATCTCCAGCGACTCAAATCCAATTTAAATCGCTGCTATCGCATAGGCACCGCTCTGAGAGCACCTTAAGGATTTTCCTGTAGTGCTTGTGTTTTGTCCTTCAAAAAAACCTTGTTTTACCATCCATAAAATTGATAGTGTAATATTGATTTTAATAGTATATATTTCAATGAGTCTACAATTTTATGTGAAATGATTAGGAATTGGTTGGATTTTGGGCTCATTTGCCAATTTTTTTTATTTCATTATTTGAAAGTTTATACTTCAAATGGGACATCTGCAAAAAATCTGAATATTCACTCTTCATCTTCTCCTTCAAATTAATAGTTGAATGTGGCGTTCAACGAAACGAAGCGTGGTCAAACTTGACGTCATATCAGCCGCCAGTGCTGGCGGGTAAGCGAAATACATACGTGTATAGTCTATCCATTCCCAATTGGAACGGCAATAAAAATAAGAAAACAGTCATGAACATATCTTGCCTGTGGCCCCTAGTCGCCCAGATAGTTGGTAAACGTGCTATCAAATGTAGTTGAGGAATAAAGGCTCGGCTAGCTGGACTGGCAATACTAATTTTTTGTCCGTTTCACAATATTTCATTATCAGTGCCGTGTGTTCGTGGGGTTAGGTGAGGTAGTGAATGGTTTTTCAAACCGATTTTCGAAAACTTTTTCGAGAGATCAATTACCCAAACACCAAACTGATATTTTTACCTTGTTAGCGAAATGCGCGTCGAGTGCAAAAGTATCAGTTTGGTGTTAGGGAAACTGGTGTTAGGGTGAAAAGTTTTCAACTTTAACACCAAAGGTTCCATTCTCATCGTTTAAACCGATTTTTGTAAAAATCTTAGTGTTTTTGGGTACTTTCATCAATATGGCTTTCTGGATACCTTTTGAAACAAATGATAACATTATGTGTGAGGAATCTGTGTCAATCGACTGGGATCCGGAATTTGAAAATAAGGACTTACATGTTCAAGTTCAGCGAGTAATTTTAAATATTTATGAATGCTTGAAGAAGGAAAACTGTCACACTTCACAAAATGCTATTGTGAATAGAATATGCGAGTTAACGGAACTATCTCGTTCGACAGTTCTTCGAGTCATTAAAATAGGGGATGTCATTGACCATGTAATGGAACGAAAATAAAGGAATAAAAAGTTCGCGAACGTTGATGGTGCTACAAAAGATGTGATTCGGCGAACAATTTATGGTACATACCAAAAAAATAAGTACCAACCTTGGAAATGATTTGGTATAAATTAGTCGACTATCCCGATTACAATTACAAATCTTTAGAAACTCTACGAGGTGTCTTATTATCTTGTGGTTTCAAATATAAAAAATTGAACAATCGGATGGTCATAATGTAATCGACATGCATTGTTCAACTCCGACAAGAATATTTGAAGCAAATGAAAAGCTACCGAGAATCCAGCAGACATATAATCGACGAAGACGAAACTTGGTTTGACTCCCATGATGTTGTTAAATATGGGTGGGTAGACGAAATCAAGTATTGTGCTTTGAACACACCTTCTTCAAGAGGAAAACGTGTTATAATTTTGCATGCCGGGAATGAAAGTGGTTTCGTACCTAACGCTTTGCTTCTGTCGGCCAAAAATATAAAAGATTCGTCTGCTGATTATCACGAAGATATGACTGCGGCTTTATTCGAAACCTGGTTCAGTGAGCAGCTTCTCCCAAATATTCCTCCAAACTCGGTTATTGTTAACGCTTCGTATCATTTTCGGTTATTGACTACAATACCAAACAACACAAAAAACATTAACTTTCTATTGCAAAGGGGAAAAAACTTCATTGTAAAAAATGGGATGGATCATTTAAAAGTATCAATCAGTTCATGGAAAATGTATCTATTTTCTGAAAGTATCCCATTTTTTGAGTTTCCTCTTCAAACTGTATTACTTATGGATCGCTTTAAGAGAATTTGGCATTATGTTGTAAAATGTTTGTCCTAAATATGTAAAACATTTCTGACTTACTGCTTTATTTGCGCTGGGTATGGCAAGACCGGCTGATATTAAGGCCCTTGTATTGAAAGAATGGCTTAATTTACTTGTATACTGTTAACGCTGAAGGATAAAAAATATTGCCGTTTTAGAAAACAACTGTCTGATGTCAAGAATTTGTAACTCGATATATAATGAATCAGAAGAAAATCGAAATGGTTTGTGATATATTATTTTCAAGATTCGTTTCTACACATCATCAAGGGTTTTGACAATTGTTTTGTTCGCTCCACCCCAACCAAGTATTCCATATTGCAGCTATGATTCCACTAGTGCATGATAGAGGATCCTGAGCTGTGTAACAGAAAGTATTTTTCGTAATTTATAAAACTTGAACAATAGTCCTCGGAGTTCAACTTTTCGATGTGTATATCCCATCTCAATACAGTATCTATAAAAATACCTAGATACTTTACTGACAATACTAGTTTGACATCTTGGTTATTAATTTTTATTGACTCATATGGGGGTAAGTACTTCTCATATGATGTAAAACAAATTACATTTGTTTTACTGATATATACTGTAAGCAAGTTCTCTTTGAACCACTCTATTATCTGTTTCAGGTCTCTTTCTGCCGCATCTTTCACATTCAACCAGTTTTTGTCCTCATATATGATGACAGTGTCATCAGCGAACTATATTATAGAACCAACAGTATTTAGGCTAAGGAGCTGATTTATATAAATATTAAAAAGTATTGGTCCAAGTACGGTGCCCTGTGGAACACCGCAAATTATTCTTTTCTCATCACTAACTACATCGCTAATTTTTACTATCTGTTTTCTGTTACTCAAGTAATCTCTTGAAAGATCAAGGGCAACTCATCTTATGCCTATGTTTTCCAACTTTTCCAACAAAAGCTCATGACTTAAAGTGTCAAAGGCCTTTGTTACATCCACAAAAACTCCAAGGCATGCTTTTTACATATCTACATTTTCGTATATCCTACTTACATCAGCTATGGCATCCTGGGTTGATATATTTTCTCTGAATCCATACTGTTTAGGAGCAATAATTTTGTGTTTATTTACATAGTTCATTAATTGAATTTTTATGACTTTTTTCCAATAATTTTGCTATATACAATCATAGTGTTCATGCTATGATACTGATGCTGATTCTTCAAAAATTACAGGAATACCTCTGAAACAACACTTACCGGTTGGACAGAAACTCTTTGATCATATCGCATTCGCTGGACTGAATTTTTTATTGAATGACAGCATAGTTATAGAACAAGAAAGAGCGGTATCTAATCTGGATAACTTTGTGCGCATAAAATATGGAGAAGGAGAATTCACAACAATTCTTGGTGAGTGTCAATTTCATAGTTACCTTTCATTCGAATATGAGAGACTCATAGAGATGGTTCATAAAATAAAATAGAGAAATTCTTATTCAGTCCTACTGAAAAGATTATGGTAATGCATCAGTGAAGTTGTTACTAAAAAAGGCTAATATATACTGGGTAATTTTTTTTGGGTTATAAAAAAAACTGAGTTGGCCTGAAGATGAAGCGTCAGATTAATAAATATAGTTTAAAAAACCTAAAAAACACGCTTTCATAGCATATGAAACTAAAAAGTGAGAAAGTTTTAAAAAAGTAACAGACACGCTTCTGAAAAAAAACAAACTAATAAGTTGAAAATATTTTTTANTGTATTATACAAAAATGATGATTTGAACAACGAGATTTTATCTTTCGAAATTAAAATCTCAATTTTATAACGTACATTGATATTGTGATGGTCATGTCTGAATTTCACCTTATTATACAAATATGAAGGTTTCTTCATTGTAAGGAGTCTATGATAAAGGCTGCAGCAATGGAGAATCCTGCGTGTATCCATTGGTAGCAAACTAAATTCATATAGATGAATTGACACAAGTTCCCGTCTTCGTAACCCATATATTAAACGCCCACACGAGTTTTCAATCAATTGAATACTTCCACTGTCAGAACTAAGGATAGCAGGACACTGAATACAGTCAGCTAAATTGATTAAATCTCATATCAGTGTCTAAAATTACCCCAAAACTTTTCACTGAATCGCTGAACAGTAGTGGGTTTCCATCAATTTGCAGCGAGATTTGACCCCATTTTTTTCCAAATAGCATGTCCTTAAATTTCAGAGGGTTGATGCCAAGACAATATTTTACTGAAATTTCGTGTATTCTCTGGAGGTCCTCATTTATCTTTCCACATGCATATTGTGTAGCAGTCTCAGAAAATTCCTTCAATATTTGGGTGTCAGCGTAAAAATTAATTTCACAATTTGATATATTATACTTATGAAACTATGGCGTATAGACCGTGAAAAGTAGCGGTCCCAGTATAAATCCTTGTGGGGCCCCTGAATTGACTGGAGTTGATATCTCATTATCTATCATTACATGATAGAAAATGAAAATGAAAGTTGTTGGGCAGATAGAAGGTCGATGTGAAATATTTATATTCAATATTTTATTTATATAATGTATTTTCTTCAACTATTTTCCTAACAGGAGGCATGGAAGCGTTAGCGTTTATGAAAACCAATATATCTACCGAGTCCGATTCGTCTCATCCAGACATTGAACTGTTACTATTCGGCGGTGGAATCAGTGCAGATAAAGGATCAGTCTACNAGTCCTAAACATTTTATTTTGTCAGTCAATTCCACAGAATGACAATCAATATACAAATAGATATTATCTATGGACCTTCCACGATCTTTGGCTTTTCCAAAAATTATTAAAGATTTACTTTTACTAGGATTAAGGTTTAAACAGTGTTGCTGCGAAGTCTGAACAAGATTTTTTATATCATTATTGAGCAATGTTTCGTGATCAATGAGCTGATTTGCTTAATCGGAGTAGTACAAGTTAGTGTCGTCTGCATATGCATGAATGTTGAATAACTCAAGAACCTTGGAGAAGTCAGATGTGTAGATAATAAAGAGTAGCGGGGCGAGAATTAAACCTTGCGGGGCTCCATGATATACACTCATATTATCAGACTGACTACCCTTTATCATAACACGTTGCTTTCTATTTTTTTTTGAATAAACTAATAAATTCACATGCCTTCATACTGAAACCAAAGAAAGCAAGTTTAGCGCACGTCAGATTGTGACTCATGGTGGCGAAAGACTTACTGTAATCGAGAGACAAGAAAAGAGTGACCATTTTATTATCGGTGGCTGAAAAAATATCGTTCATTTTCATCAGAGCACTAGAAGTACTGTGATTTTTCCGAAAACAAGATTGGTGTTCAGGCAGAATGTTATTATCAGAGACATAACAGTATATCTGACTATAGGCTGCCTTTTCTACAATTGGTGTCAATTGGTGTCAAAGGTTTAGACATTTTGTTTATAGGAAAAATCATAGATTGTCTCTATAGTTCCGGGAAGATACTAGTTTCAAGGCATTCGTTAACTAAATATGTTAGAACTAGAGTTAAGTAAGAGATATATATTTTGATCATTTTGATAGATTTTTTATCTGATCCAGTGGCATTCGTTATTATGGAGTTGACTATCGTGTTAATATCATCCATATTGATTTGATGGAATTTAAAAGTTAAATTTTGAATATGTACTGAAAAAAGTTGATGATGAAATTTAATAAACGAAACGTTGCATCGCAAATTGGTTTATATCAGATTATAACAAATACAGAACAGTATTGAAAGCTCCTTTACTTTTCTTCAAATCATTCGAAATGGAGGAACTAGAGCCCTAGCACGAAATTTGACAGTTTCAGTTTTTGGCAAATATTTCAAAAACAAACACTAGATCGAGAGTATCTAAAAAGATATTATTTTAGTTACTCAAAATAGGAAACTATTGTCCAATTTAATCGACCTTTTAGGTCTCATCGTTGACGAAATAGCTAAAAAATAGCATGTATATAAAAATGAAATGAATTCATTAAACTCAAATTTTTATTCCTGAAAAAAAAATATTGGAGTGCCTTTATGAAATCTACATAAGCCATTTTCTTAATTTTCAGGTTCTTCCTATATTGCTGCACCCAAAATCGCATGGCTTCGTGAAACTGAAATCAACGAACCCGTATCACTGGCCGAAGTTCTATACGCGCTTTCTCACCGATTCTGAAAATCAAGACATAAAAACGTTGGTTCAAGCAATACGTGGGGCACAAAAGATTTTCAGAAGTCCGTCTCTGCAGAAATACGGAGCCACCCTAGCTAATTTGCCAATACCAGGTACGACTGTTTTATCAATTTTGGGAAAGAAAGTTTTTGACTTTCTACTACTCCATCTCGATACAAAAAAATGAGGGAATCTGCCAAAGATGGAGTATAGGGGATGT